GGGTGCATATATAATCTATCATGAAAAAAATAGTTAATAAAAGCAAAACAGAAGTTTTATTTTACACTGTTTGCCCCTATGAATTAACTTATGTGCGAATATTTTTTTTCTTTCTTGTCTGAAAGGAAAAAAAAAGAACTTAGGAAAAAAACTAAATCAGTCCGAACTGAGGACAAGAACAATGGCAAAGGTTTTTTATTGATTTATACAGTTTTATAAAAGAAAGAGCAGAAAAGTTCCTACCTCGGAGTGTTTCTCCGTATCGCTGTTTTTCTGCGGGGGTCGTCCCTCGGCTCTCTGTATCCCTCCGCCCCGCGGTGTGTTCCTCCGCTCTCCGCTGCAGTAAGCACGCAGCTCTCTGGGACGTGTCCGAGAGGTTCTGCGACCCTGGACCGAATGGGCAGGAGGCTGGACTTGGGCTGATGGGTGGAAGGGAGAGGCGGGTCATGAGAAATTTCTCCTAAGTCTAAGATGGGAAATGGAAAACCGAAAAACTTCCAGGAGGGGCTCAAACTGCAGCCTATGCGAGCGACCAAGGGGTTGCTAGGCAACCAAAGCCTTGACTACCAAGGCTGGTTAAGAGCCTCATGTAACCTGGGCCCAGACATAATAAGGCACATTCCTCTTGCTGTTTAGAGTTCTGACTTTTTTAAAATAAAAAATAAATAGTCCAGTGGGCCATAAACCCCACGGTTTGAAATTATCTGTTGCTGCCTTATGAACTTATGAAGTTTTAAATCAAACTGGCCATATAAACCAGTCTCCACTAGTATCAAACTAGCTGTTTACATGATGCTTATACCTTGAATGTGAAGTGGAAGATTTTTTTTTTGGTTTGTTTGTATATACTTTCTTTTCAATTCCATTCAGTTTATTAATATAGCGCCAGTTCACAACAGGTCATCTCAAGGCACTTTACAGTTCACCAGATCATACAGTCAAACTGATTCAAAGTTTTCTATCTAAGGAAAACCACTTCATTGCATCGACTCATTGACTTGAACGCAATCCCTCACACTAAGCATGCTTGTAGCGACAGTGGAGGGAAAAACTCCCTTTTAATAGGAAGACCCTCCAGCAGAACCAGGCTCAGTGTGAGCGGCCATCTGCCGAGGCCAACTGAGGTTAAAAAAAAAAAAGAAAAAACAGTCCTTGAAGAAAGTGGCTACTTAGATTGTTCTTTTTTGTCCAAGTTAATATTTTTACTGGTGCTAAATTCATGCTTAGTATGCTGTACACAAGCTGTGAAGGCGTTAGCTTTCTCTGTGGGTTTGTAGTTGGGTGGGGGTTTGAAATATTTTCACTAGTAAGCATGTCTATCCTTGGGTCTTAAAAAAACTGACTCCAAGTTGAACAAATGCAACTTTGCTTCTCCCAGAGCTTATCCAGTTATTATAAAAAAAAAAAAAAAACATAAAAGTGCAAGAAAAACTGGACAGAAGTGTACAAACATGGTAGTGTCACACATTTCTTCAACTATATATAGAGAGAGAGAAAGAGGAAAAACATGTCAAGTTATTTCCTCTCTGCTAGAAATGCAATATTAAGGATATATAATATAGGCTCTGAATGAGGAGGAAGAAAGCAAGACTTCTTAAATCTCTGAATGCTTCCAAAAACAAAACACATTATATTGTGTGACAGGACAAGAGGATGCATCTGGTTCCTGTAGAAAGAAAACTCATATCCTGTCCTCATCTCTGCATCCAAATCCAGGCTGTGGTGCATAAAGATGAGACAGTGAACTTATCCTGAAGAACAGATCTGTATCAGTTTCAGGAGGTCATGCTGACGTGTAAAATGCCGAAAAACAAATACTGCTTTGTAATGCAAACAGTAGCTACGAAGGGCAGCGCCATTGTTTTTGGGTATCGGGCTATTTTTAATTTCTTCCTCCTATCTGAATAGTTTTCACTTATAAAATGTGCAGATACCCTTGACTGTTTCACTATGACTCTGAGGTATATAGTGAAGACTGGACTGTTTGAGTACATATTGTTGAAGGGTGGCAAAGCAGTCCAATAATTGGAAAAGCTACCAAATCTAAAGGAAACTAAAATAAAGTCTGGAAGAAAAGAAAAAATGGCAGCTCTGCTTCAAAATCACTGACTTTACTTATTTTTAATTAATATAATTTATATTCTAGCATTTCCTCACTTAAGCATTTAAACTTTTACTAACAAATCTAAGATTATGATGATTAGGGAACTCTAATTTTGTATTTGTAAAACTTCAATTACTGATTTAAGTTCATTTTTGTCTATAAGTGTAAAGCTTTCTTTTAATCAATGAGGAAAAAGCGAAAACAAAGACATGCATTACTACACATACCAAACAGGGTTTGACAGTAAGTTATCATAAGAAATTAAATCTGAAGTCTGAGATTTACAAGGGAAGGGCATCAGTTTGTGTAAAACTACATAAAAGAAGTAACAAATCTACCTGCTTTTGCTCTCATTTTCAACATCCCAATAAATACACAGGAACTGTCCTGCAGCAATAGGCAGGACAATGCTCTATTGTATGCAAACAGTACTTCACTGTTCCACTCGACACACAGGCGCCTCCAAAATGAGTAAATAAAGACCTGTTGTCTTCCTCTTCTGACTTGAATTCTTCCAAGCGCCTAAATTTACTGACTCAGTAAATGTTCAATTAGAAATGCTTAAGAAATGGCTAGAAACTGAAAGATAAGCGTGTGGAAAGAGAGGCTGGATGGTCCATTTAATAGCTTTAAGAAAGAAAAGCTTTTTTTTATGTTATTTATCTGACAAACTTTCACACATGGCTGTACAGCAGAGAAATATCACAGAAACGAACTATGTCTGTTGAATCATTTGGAAATATATGGTATTTAAATGACCAAAAGCTGCAACTCAGCGGGTGTAAGTGTTGTGTAACTCCCCCAAAGCCCAAACCAGTGAAATGAATCGTTCAGATGAGCTAATTTGATGACGCAGGCCAAAAGCCACAAACAAGGCAAAACAAACTAGTAATGTGCTGGCAAAATTCCTCTGGCACAGATCGGCAGACACAAGTTGAAGAGAGGACTTTAGCTTAAAACAAATACACTGACCTTTTAGAGGTTTTCTGCAGCTTAAGTATAAGGAACTGATGCACCTTTTTGTAAAAAGTAAAGTGAAAAAAAATGTAGCTAGAAATGACACCATCGGTTCTCCACCCAAATTTTTTTATTTCCCCTCTCAACTTTATTTTCATTTTTTAAATCAATGAGAAAAAAGGAAAACAAAGAAATACACTAGTGCACATACTAAACAAGGTTTGACAGTAAGTTAACAGAAAAAAAATAAAGAATATGAAAATAAATCTGAAGTCTGAGATTTACAAGGGAAGGACATCAATTTGTGTAAAACTACAAAAAAAGAAGTAACAAATCTACATTTTTTCCCCTCTCAACTTTATTTTTTAGTGTTTCAGAAGTTATTTTTTTTCCATTAGTGTAAAGATTTTTTTTTAATCAAAGAGGAAAAAGCGAAAAAAGCTTTTTTAGTGTTTCAGAAGTTAACTAATATCTTTAAGTAGTACTGTTTTTTCTTAATCAAGATTAATTGTTGCCAGAGCTAATAAAAATACTACAGAGAAGCATACGGTATGATGCTGCCACCACTATGTTTGATTTCACTGTCTAATGCCTGTTTGTCTTTAAAATCCTGAAAGCTACATTAAAACAATGTTGTTTCTGCAACTAACTGTTATTTTTAAAGATGTTTTTATAGTTTAAAGAAATTCATCTTTTATTTCTATTAAAAGGCCTCTATATCAAGAATTAAATAAAAATCTGCAAGTAGATAGATGGTGGAGAAAGGGCTAGGAGCTCTGTTAGCAGGGAGGAACTGAGAGTAGAGCTATTGCTCCATGCTGAAAGGAGGATGAGTTACTTAGGGCAGGAATTCCCAAACTTTTCCATGCCGCTCCCTTCCAGCTTTAGGCTTTAGCTGGGGACCAGTTTGAAAACAAGCAGAAAATGCTACAAAATATGCACAAAAAAGCTGAACTATAGGAATGTTTTTTAAAACTTTTAGTCCTTTTGTCTTACTTTA